GAGGCCACGTGAAGTGTCGAACGCCCGCTGGCAGGAGGTCATGGGGCAGACCCAGGTGCCACGGTTCGACTGACTGAGATGACTGAGATGGCTGCCTGATGCACCACCTGTGCCCCCTACTGTGCCAACTTGCTGTGCTTTAGCCACCCGGCACTCCGCTCGTTGTTGTGAGCGTCGCTCCTCCGTCCTTCGTTGGTGTTGGAGGGCAACTGCCTCCAACTGCCCAGTAGCGTCCTTCACGAGCCTCCTCCACTGAGGCCGATCTTGACACCGCTGGTACCACACTGTAAAAAATGTGACACATTGTTACTTTAAAAAAATTATGGCAACAAAGTGACACGTAATATAATTGAGTAGATTTTAAGCACTACAACTTTGAATAAAAAGTGTTGAATAAATTAACTAAAAAATAATAATAAAAATAAGTACATGGTAATAAAAGCAACAGTTACAATGTGTTGGATTTAGTAATATGATTCCAAATGATGAGTTATATAGCCTAAAAAAATTGTGTAAATCCAAATAGATTTTACAAGGAAAATAATTTATATTTACTTAATATCTGAGCAATGGTAATTTAGATTTACTAAATATCTGGTGGAATCTGATTAATATTTATTAATGATCTGGGTGAAATTGATTTACATTTACTAATTGTCTGGGTGAAATTGATATAAGCTTATTAAATATCTGGATCAAAATGATTTGGATTTACTAAATAAAATACTTATATTGAATGTCTGTTGCCATAACTTTTCTATTTCTAATACACCCAATATCGTGCCTTCGTGGTGCCACAATTCACTTACGTTAAGTCAACCGATCACCATGAAAGAGATAAGAACCATGAAAAGGAACAGCAGGTTAACATTTATTCGTGCAATTTTGTCTCAACATGTTTATCCAACATATTACAAGTACAAAACAAAGACAGAAATCATGTATGTGTACAATAGGGATACAATACTGGAGGTATTTATAATTTGTGGGCATTACAGGCACAGATTACTTTTTTGGATGTGATTCAAGGTTTAGTCTTTTTAACGCATTTAAATTACGACAATGTTTTTAAAAAAATCTGTAAAAAAACTTCATATGATTTCTTTTTTACATGCGCAAATTGAAATCCTAAGGGCCAATATGTTTTTCAAACAGCTAAAAGAGATTAAAACATCACGTGAATTGACTTGCATCCCTGTAATTATACTAGTAGCCATAATCCACAATCCGGGTGGACCTATCTTTTTTAACATGCATAATTACAGTAAAAGCATGGCTTTCTACAAGTAAACTAGCACCGCCTACAGATGTTCTATGCATCTTACATCTATTCCTTTAGAACAAACACTTGCAATGGCCTAGGTCAGCGTCACATCAGAAGAAAGCACAATGTTAGAACACCCAAGAAACATTAAACAAAATAAAGATAGCTTTCAATAACAAATCAGTGCATTCTCTGATAGCCTATCCGATGTATAGGCCTATAACGCAGAACTTTGACAGTCAGACTCAGTTATTAACTCGTTAAGCTCAGTCAAACTGAAGTACTTCTTCTTGGTGACAATCTGAAACACATGCTAGTTCCCTTGGGACTATGCCTTCCAAAAGGTCATGTATGTAGTACATCTGGTGGGTACCCAGACTCAAAATGAAAGTGATTAATTTATCAGTCAATGGACACGACCGCTTTACGCCAAAGCAATGAGTAACATTTGGATTTTCTCTCAGTTTTACATGCAAACTATGTTCCTTCTTTGTCCGAGGTGGAAACCCTCCGGTCCGCACTTCGTGTGTCTGGTACTCTGAAGAATGTCCAAGACAAATCTACAGATGTACGGCCCCGTGAAACATTCAACTAGTCCACTGATAGAATGTGCATCGAGATTGTCAGCTACAACACAATGTACTGTCCCTTTAATGTTTTTTCCAACACTGGAAATGAAAATCCTTCCTGTTCTAGAATGACAAGATCCTTCAAGAGTGGTTCCAAAACTGCTCTGTATTCAAACTGTTTGACATCAACAGCTTTGCAAAGTAAAGCTAGGCGTATTGACGTTAATGCAGATTGCAACTTTGTTAGAACATTTGCCAAAACCCAATAAACAGCTGTTATTTTGTGTTTTTTTTCTCGAAGTTCCTAGTGGGTTACACACTTCAAAGTCGTCAACGTAAAGGATTATAGACAGTCTTGTTTCTTCCCCAGCATAAAATACGTTTTGCTTGAAGGATTTTCCATCAAAAATTGACTTAATATATCCAGTACTATTTGATTTTCTGGATAAAATTATTTCTGCAATGTCTTCATTCTTCAAGACTTCCTGCAAAGTCTGGAGAATAGGCACATATTGAAAGGTCTTGTTCTTTTCAGTATCAATAATATATTCAATGCTATCAACACACTGGAAATGCACCTTAAACTACTTTCTTCTCTTAAAAGCCGAACCAAGTGGACCACCTGCTCCAAGTGCTGTACTAATGGGATGGAAGTTGCACAACTGCTGACAATTCAGTTACGATGGCCTGGTCAAAATGCATTTATTTACCTTCAATGTTGAATCTAGTATGTTTCTAACAACTGCAACTGATACTGAAGATGAAATGAACTGAAGGTCTTCAACCAAGGCATCAATGCACTTCACTGAGGCATTATAGATGGTTTCTAGCTTCAGCAGAAGTGAGCCAATTCTTTGAAGAACTAAGTATGATGCACTTTCCTGATCACAATCTAAACTAGTGCCCTCACCATCATTGGCCTCTGGTAAATCAGAATGGTCAACAGTCTGATTATGGCGACTCTCATACACATCTTTCTTAAAATCACTCAAAGAATAGGATTTGTGTATTTTGCTTTTGTGTTTTAGAAATGTATTGTATATATTTGTCTGAAAGCTGCATCCTTCAAATACACAAAAGACAGTTTTGTGGCTCTTCAGATGATTTCCAATATGCTGAAAGTAGTCCTTCTCTATAGAACAACAAGCATTGCAAACTAAACACTTAAAAGCAGAGATGTTTCCTGACCGTAGACTTTCTTCATCTGAATGGTATCTGGACAAATGTGTGCGAAGGGCACTCTGCGTTTTAAATGTGCAAGGGCAACTGTCATATAGGCATGGCTGGGATTGCCCACGACCAAATGTTGCGTGTTGTAGTCTGTAATGCTTTAGTAGATATCCCTTTTGTGGCAGACAAAGACTTGCAGATCTTACACTTCCATTCCATAAGCAAAAACCTGAGGCAGACAAAGGTCCATGTATCAGATGCAAGGCCACCAGGTCTCTAATCACATGAGGACAATAGAATCGCATTTACAAGATAATTCTTTATTATTTTTAATATTCAAATTTTCATGCTCAAATTTAGCACATCAACTTCTTGTCACTCACATCATCTAGCTAGCTAGCAACTACACAACAAGCTAGCCACAACGTAAAGGTGACGCTAACTGACTGGTGGCAAGCTAGCTAACGTTAGCATACTGTACGTACATCAACACCAAGATAAAATATACTGGAGGTGTAACGGCAGGTACGGGACTTTTGGTTCGGTACACGCTGTGATCCGAATGAATATAGTCTAGTTTTAATCACGCATGTTACTTTTTCCGTGTGCGGAACAAAAATTATAGTCTCGTGCTTTTAGTCGAATCAGACTGACTTCCAAAGGCCTAACGTTGTGCTAGTTAATTCTGATATACGTTACAGCCAGTTAAATTGGCATGCTGGTAACATGCAGTAACATAAAACAATGTTCAACTGGTACCACACCTTTGTTAAAAAATTGTTCGCTAAAATAATAAAACATGTCTTACCTTTGGGAGAACGGCGGTCCCTGAAACGTGTCTGTTGAAGAAGATGGTTGACGTGCACGTGGCGCGAAAAAATGCCTCGAGTTTGGGCGGGAGTGTAACGTTATCAAATTCAAAAACCTCCCGGTTAGTAAAATTAATCAATTTTTGGCATTTTTGACTTTCCTGATAAAATACAATTAAATTCTACTCAGTTATTGATGGCTGATTTTATTTGAACAAAACTGAGTAAAATACAATTAATAACTAATAGAAATGTGTTGAATTCAGCTCAATGTGATTCTAAACTACACATAGTCATTATTTTTATGTATAGGCTACTCCTATATATTTACTAAACATTAATTAACCCCAGTCTCGGTTTTTACAGTGCAGTCATCGACAAGTCCACTCAGCTCCACGTCCTCCTGTACCACATCACTCCATCTCTTCTCTAGCCCGTGCTGTGCCCGTTTAGCCCCCTCAATCCGGCCAAACAAAAGCTGTTTAGGCATGCGGTGGCTGGGCATGCGGGCTACATGACCCAGCCAACGCAGCCTTGCCTGCCGGAGGAGCTCACCGATGGGACTTTGCCCAGATCTTTCAAGGATTTGTGAGCTCCTCACACAATCCAGCCTGGTTAAACCCAGGATGGATCGTAGGCAGGCCAGCCTAAATGTTTCCAACCGGCAAAGATGCTCCATTAGGGTGGTCCACGTTTCGCAAGCGTAGAGAAGGGAGGGAATGACTGTGGCCGAGAAAACCTGAAGCTTCGTGCGGAGCGACAGACCAGGCAGCTTCCACACAGCGTTACGCAACCGATGAAAAGATATTGCCACTTGACTGATTCGGAGTGAGACCTCTGCTGTTACACTGGAGCCGGTCATAAGCATACTGCCCAGGTGTGGGAAACTCTCCACTCTCTCCACTACTGCCCCATCACTGTCCGGCAAAACAACCCCCTACCTCCTCGCGGTGCCGGATGGGCAACACTGTCGTGGACAGTGCTGTGGGGGGAGAGCCAATGCCCATTGGCCTCTCCCCTCATGGCATCTGTGACCACCACAGTGGCTAAACGGGGGCTCTGGACGGGTGCGATGGGCTGGTAACCCCTCCACCTTCAATTTATTACCACGAAACTACGAATTAAACATAAATATGTAACTAATAAGCTTGTGCCGGAGGCCCCAGGGGGACAGGCGTCTATAACATCTCCTGGCCAAACCCCAATTGGCGGAGCCAGGAGATTAAATCTTCACCCTCGGGGCTCCTCCAGAAACAACGAAAGCCACTATGGATGGTCACGTGGAATGTTCGAACGCTCACTGCGGAGGAGAGGCTGCCACTCCTTTGTCAGGAGCTGGATCGGTACCGCACACACACACACAGACATACAGACACACAGATGAGACACAACATACATCCGTCCTCGGGCCGTGACGTCATATCCGCTTCCGCCCAGTGTGCCGTTGGAGCCACGCTGCGAGCTGCGTGCTGAGGAGCGCCTCTCTGCACGAAGCCTCCTGGAGCCTCTCCCGGAGCAGTCACCATGGAGGCTCATGGGCTGCACAGTACCTCACGCACCCTCGTGGCGCTGCTCGTGACGAGCTACGCGTTCCTCACGTCTGGGCTCACGGAGGAGAATTTCTCCCCGAACTGGCTGGTTAACCTGGGGGGAGCCTGGGAGGTCCAACCGCCACAGGCCGGGCAGCCTCTACCTCTCGCCAAAGCGACCGTGGCTGTCCACATCAGCGACCGGCTCGCAGATCACGAAGCCAAGAGGGAGCCTCGAGTCGCTTCCTCTCCCAGCCATGGCGTGGAGGTTCCCCAAGGAGGAGGAGGAGAAGACGACGACCCAGCTCCCTTAGGGTGGAAGACCTTCATGGAGATGCTGCACAGCAGGCCGGTGGCCATCGCCTACGAGGTGGCGAGTGCAGGGATCGCCCTCCTCAGCCTCGGAGTGTGGCTGAAGAATGCAGTGGTGAGTGCCAGCTTCACGATTACACAGACCATAGCGTGGCACCGCAACAGACACCACACGCAGAGCCACCACACGCAGAGACGTATCACGCGTACAGATCACTCGCGTAGATATAAGAATCTCACTCGCATATGTAGTAGGTTCAATGAGACGTAGACGACGTAGTCGGAGGCACACTTATTTATTATAATGTTTCACTCAGCACAGGCCAATGTATACAACACTCGAAGGGGTAACGGCCCCTTCACCCGTCTAACAGGGAGACCCCATTAACTCTAGCCCGGATAGCCTACTCCCAGGTCCTCCACTCGAGAGCTAGGGGAGGCTAGCTGATCCAGCTCTGGCCAAGCTAGGATCACGGCACCCTTAGCCACCAGACCGGCTCTTATAAGAGCATAGGCTCTGGGCTCTCAGGGCCACGCCACTGGCTTGCCCTGGTCGGTCCTTAGAAGGACAGCGATCCAGGGGAGTCCCAGGGCCTATCTAGCCGGTCTTCACTCTTCACTAGTTAGGCTGAATACTGAACCCCGTGCCCACCGGCTCACCGCCTTATATAGCAACTCCCCCACGAGGGGTGGGGCCGTGGGAGATCACAGCGCCGTTACAGCCCCCCAGGGCTAACCGATGCGGACGTGAATATAAGCATCCTTCCGCGTGCGGGCATAACCACCCCTCGTGTGTTTGTTCACCCTCCCGTAACACCCCTACACATACACCACACACACAAGTATATATGACATCCACACACACATCCTAGACAAAGTCGCAAACACCTTGCTCAATTAATTATGCTTAAATATTATCCACTGCAACTTTAAGGGTGTTTTTTGTTACTGGCAGTGTGGCATTTGGGACATGTGGACTCAGCTGTCCTTGTGCGGCGTTGGTGAGTTGCCCTGGTGCGGACAGAACTATTTCCCCAGCCAGTAGAGTCAGAATAATACTATTTATTTATGGTTGAGGAATCCGATGAGCTATGAAGCTCTTTTTCACAGATGTCCAGTCGGGGCTGGTAAGAACATTACAATAACAAATACTACAAAAACATGATAATAGTGCAAAGTACATGAAAGGTTAACAAATCACCCAAAAACAAACAAATAAAACTAAACCACCCCCATCATATAAAGCCCACTGAGGTACTAACTTATTTTTCAGACGGAACCTGGTCACAAATGATAGATCAACAAAGTGACATCATTTGGACATTCATAGCAGCAAAATAATCAAAATTATCGAAATAAATGTTTCTAAATGTGGAGGGAAAAACCAGAGGATCAAACTACGCAGGGCCATGGCACGTGACCAATGACTTTTGTTTATTGCCGAGAATCCAGCTGTTAGTCAAGGCTGAACTAAAGAGAGGGAAAGATACTTGTTGTCGTGCTGTACATTACAAATACTTGTGCAATGTTTTCAACAGTGGCGTCCGCGACCTCCTGCCATGCCAGCGATGGCCGTCCACACCACCAACCTCCCGAAACAAAAGGCTCGGTCGAACTTGGCCGAAATGGTACCTCAAGCAGCTTCTTCTTTAGGCTGTTGGATGACGGTTCCGCAAGATGGAGAATACCCGTCTCCCTCAAGGTGGACGACCTTGATGAAGATGCTGCACAGTGGGCCGGTGGCCATCACTTACCACGTGGAGAGCACGGGGATCACCATTACCAGCCTAAGAGTCTGGCGGAAGAATCAACTGGTAAGAGAGAGAGAGTGTGCTGGCTTCATTGTCACATAGAGAATCAGCAGGACACCACAACAGACACACACAGAGACACCACACCCAGAGAGGCATCGTGGATATAGATCACTCAGGCAAATGTCATAATCTCACATGCATATATGACACAAATCAGAATCAGAATATTTATACTGGAGGAATCCGATGAGCTATTAAGCTATTTTTCACAGATGTCCAGGAGAGGCAGGTTAGAACGTTACAACACCAAACAATAAAAAATCACACTCACACCCTCGACAAAGTCGCACACATTTATTACAAGCACACACATTGTTCATGCTGTGGATTACAAATAGTTGTCCGATATTTGCGACTGAAAGGCAAGTACAACACCCGTGTTCAATCAATGGTGGTGGTGTGGTAGATGGCAAGTGAAAAAAAATATTTGAGTGGATGTGACCAACAGGGGAAGAAGGAGACTGCAATCTCTTGCCTCTCATACTGATTTTGTTTCCAGTTTTAAACAGAAGTCATCGCAACGTGGACGAGTTTATCGAAGCCGCCACATGAGAGGATCCATGTGGAAATTGGCTCGGGGCAAGCGCCACCCCATGAAAATCAAGAGGACTCACAGATCCCTCAAGACTCAGCTGGATGGCTGCTCCATGATGAATAGCTCACCAACACTTAACAGCGCACCCACCAACAGCACCACTCCTACCAACACCAGCACTCCTACCAACAGCACCACTCCTACCAACACCACCATGACAAACCCCACCCCGACCAACATTGCTATCTCGACTAACACCATCACACTTTCAAATACCACCACCTCTACCAATACTACCCTGACTAACACCACCACCTCTTCCACCCCTACAAACCCTACCAACAACATCTTCTCCACCTTCACCACCACCAGGACCGACACCATTACCCCAGCTGAGCGTGAGTGGTGTCACCTCATGATCATGGCCCGCACCAATGCCCGCTGCACTACAATAAGCTCAATTATCCCTACCAGCTCAACCACCAACTCCCCCGCTCCTACCAACTCCACCACCTCGACCAATCCCACGCCTATCAACATTACCTCCTCTACCCTCACTACCACTCCCAGCCACATCACCCCAGCTGAGCATGTGTCCAGCCTCATGATCATGAGGGAAAAGAGATCACTCTTCATGGCCCGGATCAATGCCTGCTCCACCACTCCTACCAACTCCACCACCTCTACCAACCACACACCTACTAACACTACCTCCTCTACTAACCCAACCCTGACCAACATCACTTCCTCTACCCTCACCACCACTCCTTCCCACATCATCACCCCAGCTGAGCGTGAGTCCCGCCTCGTGATCATGAGGGCAAAGAGACCACTCTTCATGGCCCGGATCAATGCCTGCTCCACCACTCCTCCCAACTCCACCACCTTTAGAATCCGCACACCTACCAACACTACCACCCCTCCCAACACCGCTACCCTGACCAAACGCAACTACTCCGACGAACACCACCACTCCTACCAAAACCAACCCTATCAACGCCAACCCTATCAACACCAACCCTACCAACACCATTATTCTTACTACTACCCCTACCAACACCAACCCTACCAGCACCAATCCTACCAACACAATGACTCCTACCAATACGACCACCCCAACCGACACCATCACTCTTCCCAACAACAGTCCTATCAATGTTACCTATCCTACAAACGCCAACTCTATAAACACCTTGACCCCTACCAACACCACCACCACCCCAAATAAGAAATAATACAAAATAAATAACATTACAACATCGCTGCACCCTTTGCATGTTAGCGTGCTGCGCTACGAAGCCGGCGACCGGAGTTAAATTTCCGCTCATGGCCAACACCAGTGATCGACTCAGTCTCAAATTAGTGCCTGGTACTCATTTAGCTGAGGCTACCTCGCATGCCAGTCTGTTAAATCTTTACGGGGGATCTTTGTCTTTGACATATCTGTGGGCTAGAGTGTAGCTTGATTTATTGTTCATGTGAGGGATGCGCTTTGCCTGCAGCCGCCACTACATCTCCGCTCATGTGTGTTTAGCCGTGTCAGTGACGCGCCACGATGTCGCTACTGCTGCTGTCACTGTCACGACCCGGTCGGTGCAGGGTGCTCTGGGACGAAATAAAAAAGTGGCACGAGGATTATCGCTGCTACTTCAGCAGATCAAGAACGGTTCTCATGGAGTCATCAAAATGCACCTGAAATCACAGCTGACCATCTCAATCACATCTGTGAAATGTCAACGGTGGTGTCCGTTGCCCCTGCTGTGAGTGGTGGAGATGTCCTTGAGCAGTGGTGATGTCCCTGAGTGGCGGTGGAGATGTCCCTGAATATTGGTGGAGTCTGTACAACGCGGCTGCTGTATTCGTGATTAAAGAACCTGAGCCGAGCGTGCTTGGTGGAGCTCAGCAGAAGGTGATGAGCCGGAGGTGTGAACTGAAAGTTCGAGCTCAAGGCGTGAGCTCAAGGTGTGAGCTCGAGGTATAAGCTGGTGATGCGGTCTGGAGGTGAGCACGCGGTGTCCCTGTGCTCACAAGCGTGGTGCGGGAGGTGGCCCGAACTAAACTTTTTATTTACCAGGTAAGGCCCACTGGTCCAATAGCTCTTTTTCAGAAGCTACCTGGTCACAAATAATATCTCAATGAAGTGGCTCATCATCTGAAAATGTCAAATACTAGAAACGTATGTTTCTCAATGTGGAGGGGAAAACCAGAGGAGCCGTAGAAGAATCTACGCGACCACGGAGAAAACACGCAAACTCCAAATATACAGGTGTCGGGGTCGGAATCGAACCCACGTCTCCCTGTATACCAGGCGAGGTAGTTGACATCTCTCAATAACTGCCTCCTCATAGCCGTATCTCCACAAAAACAATGCGAGTGGTTCTACTCATCCCGTCAGCCTTCTGAGAGTAGATCTCAGCAGCATCATTGATTCAACACAAGCAGCATCCTGGTGAGGATTGGACACTTGGTGACTAATCAGCAGTCAGGCTTGCTTGAACCAACACTGATGAATTGCCAGGTCCTCTTGGCAGGGACCCACTCTGATAGACATGGATCAAGTTCAGCAAATAACTCTGTCACGCACTGGCTCGAGCCTGGCCCTGCGGATGTCACTGGAGTGCACGGATACACGGCACCCTCTCCTGGGTGAATCTCTGGCTGCGATGGCAGTGGCGCACGAACACAATCCCGAATTAAACAAAATCAACACATTCGTTAATAACCCGGCGGCCTTTAAAGAAGAACACATACAGGCGACGCTTCGGACAATGGCCTTCCTGTCCAAGCCGGCAGCTCGCCACTTCAACAGTTGGGACGACTGCCCCGAGTGTCGGTGCGTGGCCTCTACCCGCGGCCTCTGCTCATGGTGGAGGTGGCAATGAGACCAAAACCTCATGAGCTAAATGACCTAAGGGGCTGTCCATAAATGACGTCACGCGATTTTGGACGACTTTTGACCCCACCCTCCCTCGTCACACGGCGTCACGAAAAGTCAGACCCCCCCCCCTCAAATATGACGTCACAAAGCTCTGCCCCCCATCCCCCCACAAAAAATAAAACACGCTTCAAATAGCTTTAAAGTATTGTCATTGTAGTGCGTATTTAATGTGCCACTGCACTATGATGTTGTAGGATAAAACATTTATTAAAAGTATATTTAATTAAGTAGAACGTGTTGACTATATTTATTTAAAGTTACGCATTTTGATGTGACGTCACATTTCTCAACCCCCCCCCCTCGTCACACATCGTCACAAATGTCTGACTCCCCCCCCCCCCTAGGTGCGTGACGTAATTCAAGGACGTCCTCTAAATAACCTAACCAACATGGACGTCCTCTAAATAACCTAACCAACATGGACGTCCTCTAAATAACCTAACCAACATGGACGTCCTCTAAATCAGTGCTCCCCAACCTTTTTGGCACCAGGGACCGGTGTCATGGAAGACAATTTTTTCACGGACGGGGGGGGGGGGGTCATGATTGGGTCTTTCCCCCTTTTCAAAGAAGCTGACTGAGACAAGTGCGCAGTGCGGGAAAGAGGCGCTCACCTCTTGCTGTGCGGCTCGGTTCCTAACAGGCCACGGACCGGTACTGGTCAGCGGCCCGGGGGTTGGGGACCCCTGCTCGTCTCAATGAGCTCACCAACACGGACGCCCGATCAGTAATCTCCACCGCCGCCGTGTGGCCACGTGGTACAACTGCAGTGCCACAGTGCGGGCGAGGCAGCTGCGGCACTCTGCGCTGTCTTCGCCGAGGGGGTCCGAGGGGGGTTGGGGGGGGGCTCTGGGGTGCATCCCGGGGGGGTCAGGAGGGGTGCGGGCACCTCATCGCGTGCCGCTTTCAGATGCGCTTCTGCGGCCATCGCTCTTCCTTCCGATATTTGGAAGCCATTGGAGCTCTGCACTTTTAAATGTCTTTGACAACCCATTTCTTTAGAACTGCTTTTTGTGTTTAGTTTGTTGTTCTTCACCAGCAGCCAGCACCTCCGATTATCGCGGTTGGCTACGTACGGTGCGATAGAAGTTCAACATACATGTTGTATGTTAGTGCTGTATGTTGTGCATTGGTGTTGCAGCCAGCCAGAAACCGGCGCGACCAACAATATCCCCAAGCTCTGTGGTCCTACATTGGGATAATTTGTCGATACCGCGTTGGCAGTGGTGCACAAATAAAACTCACTGAACACATTCGTTAATACCACGGCTGCCTTAAGAGGAAAATATATCATGGGCGATGTTTGAAGCAATGGGCCCCATTGCATGGCATATGTTTGCCCAGTTCCATTCAAGAGCGAGTATGCATGTGAGGGGAGAGAACCAACGCGTGCGAGGGGGAAACATTAAATCCCCTCGAGATGGAAATGTCTCCGCTTGCTGCGCTTCCAGACCCTGGATAGGCCAGGAGATGGCGACCTTAGCGACCACGGGGAGTTTCACAACATTTGTGTGGTGATCCACACGTGCACATACACAACACACACACTCACACAGACTCACTCACTCACACAGACTCACTCACTCACACAGACTCACACACTCACACAGACTCACTCACTGACACAGACTCACACTCACACAGACTAACACACTCACACAGACTCACTCCCTCGCACAGACTCACTCACTCACACAGACTCACTCACTCACACAGACTCACTCACTGACACAGACTCACACTCACACAGACTAACACACTCACACAGACTCACTCACTCACACAGACTCACACACTCATAACAGACTCACTCACTCACACAGACTCACACACTCACACAGACTCACTCACTGACACAGACTCACACTCACACAGACTAACACACTCACACAGACTCACTCACTCGCACAGACTCACTCACTCACACAGACTCACTCACTCACACAGACTCACTCACTGACACAGACTCACTCACTCACACAGACTCACATACTCACACAGACTCACTCACTCACACAGACTCACTCACTCACACAGACTCACACACTCACACAGATTCACTCACTCACACAGACTCACACACTCACACAGACTCACACACTCACACAGACTCACACACTCACACAGACTCACTCACACAGACTCACTCACACAGACTCACACACTCACACAGACTCACTCACTCACACAGACTCACACACTCACACAGACTCACTCACTCACACAGACTCACACACTCACACAGACTCACTCACTCACAGACTCACTCACTCACACAGACTCACACACTCACACAGACTCACACTCACACAGACTCACTCACTCACACAGACTCACACACTCACACAGACTCACTCACTCACACAGACTCACACACTCACACAGACTCACTCACTCACAGACTCACTCACTCACACAGACTCACTCACTCACACAGACTCACTCACTCACACAGACTCACTCACTCACACAGACTCACACACTCACACAGACTCACACACTCACACAGACTCACTCACACAGACTCACACACTCACACAGACTCACTCACTCACACAGACTCACTCACTCACACAGACTCACACACTCACACAGACTCACTCACTGACACAGACTCACACTCACACAGACTAACACACTCACACAGACTCACTCACTCACAGACTCACTCACTCACACAGACTCACACACTCACACAGACTCACACACTCACACAGACTCACTCACTCACACAGACTCACACACTCACACAGACTCACTCACTCACACAGACTCACACACTCACACAGACTCACTCACTCACAGACTCACTCACTCACACAGACTCACTCACTCACACAGACTCACTCACTCACACAGACTCACACACTCACACAGACTCACACACTCACACAGACTCACTCACTCACACAGACTCACACACTCACACAGACTCACTCACTCACACAGACTCACACAGACTCACTCACTCACACAGACTCACTCACTCACACAGACTCACACACTCACACAGATTCACTCACTCACACAGACTCACACACTCACACAGACTCACTCACTCACACAGACTCACTCACACAGACTCGCACACTCACACAGACTCACACACTCACACAGAATCACTCACTCACACAGACTCACACAGACTCACTCACTCACACAGACTCACTCACTCACACAGACTCACTCACTGACACAGACTCACACACTCACACACACTCACACAGACTCACACACTCACACAGACTCACACACTCACACAGACTCACTCACTCACACAGACTCACTCACTCACAAAGATCCCCCGTATATCCTGAACAGACTGTTGGGGCAAGTGCTGTTAGCGAGCACCTATGCACGGCACACGAGGGAGTGGGTAGCCAGGACCACGCCCGGCCGCCTTTGTCTCCCTAGTGACGATGTTTACACAAAGCGCCGCGCTAACCGCTGCACCGCCGCTCCCCACTGTTACAGTGCAGCACTGTCCCCAGGTAAGATGGCCGCCCGCC